ATTTCTCGATGTATGCGTGCCATTCTTGCGTGGGGGCCATATATGATATATCTTATTATTTTTCCAATCTTCATCATATATGTGTGTCGTCCTTGCGCAGAGGCCATGCCAATCTTCTTTCTCTGTATCGTTCCGATTTCAACGAAATGCTGTCCTTTTTACTTTCTCGTTACTACTGAGATGCCTTTCACTATATGTCCGCACGATTGCCATTAGAAAAGGTCGCCAACTCCACGTATGAAAGGGAATTGTATGCTTTAGTCTGTGGCACCCTGACATTGCCGATGTTTATAAAACGGTGACGACCGCACTTGAATGTCATGGTCTCCTTTCCGACCGGTGTGCTTTTTTGGAAGTCGCATTGCACGTCAGACAAGGAGAAGGGAGCGGCAACGTACTTCGACATCTTATCTAAGTCGATTCGCGAAGTTAGCGAGAAGAGTGTTGTTGGAGTGATAATGGACAACGCTGTTGTGTGCGCGAGAGCTGGCAGATTGGTGGAGGATACATTCCCGCTAACCTTCCATGTGCCATGCGCTGCGCACTGCCTCGACTTGATGCTGCACGACATTGGGAAGATAGAGTGGGTCGCTGAAACGGTGACGAAGGCGAACGACATGGTGAAGTTCGTCATGAACCACCAGCGAGTCAGGGATGTTTACTACATCCATGTAGGTGGAAGGCAGTTACTGCGACCCGCGGCAACGCGTTTCGCCACCAACTTTCACATGCTGGACCGCTTGAAGCAGCRGCGAAAAGCGTTGGTGGCTATGGTCACAGACGACATGTGGACAGCGACGTTGGTCCCCCATGCGCAGCGCTCGACCCTCCACGAGATGGAAGACATCATACTCGATGCAGCAGGTTTTTGGGATCTTGTGAATAAGGCAATCAATGCCGTTTACGACATTGTATTGCTGCTGAAACTGGTGGATGGCAACAGGTCCGACCATCAGCAAGGTTTATGCGAAGATGGACAGGATAGTGGAGCGCCTGCGAGTTAACAAGGACCTGACAGTGGATCAGCGGGACGAGATCGAGGTGATGGTCATGCGCAGATGGAATGCCATGACCACCCCCCTCCATTGTGCAACCCTGTTCCTGGATCCAGAGTACATGTCGTCTGAGCCGCACAAGGATGCAGAGATCCAAGATGGATTCTACACCTGGGTGTACACATGGCTCAAAGGGGCGTCACAGGAGGTGTGCAACCAGGTGGAGTACGAAGTCGATTGTTGGGTTCAAAACATTGGCAAGTTCAGCTCGCAGGTGGCCATGGATGCAGCCCGTAAGCAGAACCCTGTGGCATGGTGGAAGCGCTGGTGCAATGAGCTACAACACTTGCAGCCCCATGCCATTCGACTGTTGGGGCAAGGGTCGTCTGCTTCAGGCTGCGAAAGGAATTGGAGCCTTTTCGCAGCAATTCACACCAAAGAGCGCAATGGCCTGGCCCCAGAGACAATGCACAAACTGGTGTACAGCAAGTGGAACATGCGGCTGCTTGACATGCTGCAGCAGATGCCGAAGAGGGCCAAAGACCTTATTGAATGGGATGACCCACCGACAGAGGAGGCGCAAAAGGAGGCCAAAGAAAGAGTGAAGGTGGCTGAGCGGCGATTGAAGAGCCTTACCTCAGTTGGTGACAATGTTGTTCCACCTGTCGATAGCGGGGATGATGAAGATGGGGATGAAGCTGTTGTTCCTTGCCGTGAAGAATGCAACCTGGAGGAGATTGAGGAGGGTCAACACAGGGACTGGCGTGGATTGACGAAGGCAGCAAACTTCCTAAGTAAACGTTCCCAAACAGATGTGCGAAGGAAGGCACGCACCTTGGGAACAGAGGAGCACATGCGTGCTCACAAGAAGGGAGGCGGTGACACACTGCCTCATGGTGCTGCAACGACAGCACCACRAAAGGAAACYGGGACATCGTCTGCACAGCCTGRTCCTCAACGCCCAAAAAAAAGTAGAGGCAGGCCAAGAAAAACCCCATTGGCGGATCTGGACGGTTCAGATGCTGTGACTGCGGAGGGAGAGGACAACCCTACGCAGATAACTGATAAGAACGAAGTAGAGGGGGGCAATGATGAGGGTGTGCCAAGCAGCGACTAGGGCGTGGCAAGGAAGAGGCCGCGTGATGGTGAAGAGGAAGGCTCATCAGACTACCCATCAAGCGATCATGAGCGGCCATTGGCTGAAAAAAAGCGGAAGGGGTCATAGAGAGTCATTAGAGACTCGTGAGAGAGAGAGAGAGAGAGAGAGAGAGAGAGAGAGAGAGAGAGAGAGAGAGAGAGAGAGAGAGTGGACTGCCGTTTTTGGGGTGGTCATTCATGAATCGTGAATCATGAATGACTCTGCAATCACTTAGGGGACAGCGGCGGTCTAGAAGCTGTCGGTTCTGTTCAAACTTCAAAGTTCAATGTTAAGTTAATTCAAACTCCAAAGTTCAATTTGTTGTGTGTGCAATGTGCACTGTGCCCTGTGCAGTCTGCACAGTTCAAGTTGTGCATCTTTGAAGTTTGAATCTGTGTGCAGGTGTGCGGCTGCAGTGACAACACACTGCGCAATGTTCAGTCGGGTAATGTAACTTCTATGTTTTGAGCATGTATACTGTTTTTTTTTTTTTTTTTTTTTTTTTTTTCGAAAAATGTACTGCATCCGGACAGGCATCCGGACAATGGATCCGGACCAGTCCGAATAAACCGGAATATTCCGGGCTTCCGGAATTCCGAGGGACCCCGGGATGTCCGGTGTTCGGTGTCCGGATCCAGTCCGGTGTCCGGTCCGGCGTAGCTATGCTATGAACGCAACAATGTCGTACATCAATCCGAAATCAGATACGAATGCAGCCTGTATTTTGACTGGGATATGTCGAAACTCTACCCAGTGGAAATCTTGCATTAGCTGTGCCCTCCTCTCTTCCGGACCCACTCCTCTCGGCGGCATCCACCGGTCGATTCGAACCTCCGATTGTTCACAACAAAGGCGCTTCCATCCGTCAATCGTGATTTTGTCTGATTCGTGCAAACTTAAAACGGTGAAAAGGGTGTTGGAGACCGGCTGGATCAGGAATTGGTTGCGGGCCAAGTCGGCACTTCCTTTCAGAGTTTCCAGCCGATGGCCAATCCACTTGGCTTTATTGTTGGTCGATTTGAAGACTGTGTCGTCGTGGACCACCCAGTTACTGGCGTGTTTCATATAGATCTCGTCCCGGTTCACTATGCCAGTTTTTGGGTATGCCTTGACCATAGTCTGCTTTCCTCCATGCGATACCACCCGTGTCTCTGACGGGGTCAGGAATTTTGTCATGAAAAAAACCCGTGCTGGTGGTAGCCCGTCCAGGGGGATGTCTAGTTTTCCGGCCCGCGGGCCGCTTTGGCCTCTTTGGATGGTCAGGTTATGTCCGTGATGGGGGTTTCAAAGTTTTTCTGCCCAAGTGAGCTGTGACGGGCCATCACTCGACTCCCGGACTGACCTCCCTCGGGACTCCTTCTCTTTGTCCTCCTCCGTCAGAGTAAGTTGTGACTGCCCATTGCTCGACTCCTGGACCATCTTCCCTCGAGACTTCATCTCCTTCTCCTCCGTCAGAATCCCTCTGTCTTCGATCTGCTGCCCGTCCTTTCTGATTGTTAGTTTTGTGTCATTGTTCTGATACGCCCAACGTTTGTGCCGGAGCTGTTGGTCTGCCAGTTGTCGCATTGCTCCGCTGTAAAACAGCATCGAGTCCAATCGTTTGTGCGCACGCTGTAGCCTATTGGGCGGCCTCATGATGATGCGACTCCCCCCACGTTTCGTTGTTTTTGTTGTTTTTGTTGTTTTTTGTTGTTTACTATTGTTTCTGCAATCCTGTTTTTTGTTGTTTTTTGTTGTTTTCTATTGTTTTTACAGAGTATATTTATTTATGTATGTTGAATTATCCCGACCACTTTACTCTCGAATCTGTTACAACCTTGTTGATTTAGCAATGTCGGGGGAAGGCTGGGAGCTGCTCCGGGGCTGAACAGCCTCCTGATTTCGAACGATGCTCGCCTCCTCCATTCAACTTCCAATCAACTTCTCCCTCCCCAGGTCCCCTTCTCTCGCTCTCTCCCCTCGAACGTTCAGCCCTTACTTGATCCCCCAAAGGTATTTCCCTCCCCCACCCCCCTCTTCCTGTTCGCCTTTTTCTTAAGTGTTAACCGCAACCCCCTGGGGGCCTTCAAGTCCTTGATGTCGAGCGTTGCCCACGTCCTCTATTCCTTATCCCCTCCTTTATTCGGCCGATCCTTCCTTTCGTCCTGTATCCCTTTTCGGGATGCAGGTTAGTCTCCCTTTACCTGATCCCCCGATTTACAACCTATATATTTCCCACCCTCCTCACTATCCCTCCTTCCCCCATCTCCCCTCCCTCCGGCCGCCAGTCTCCCTCACCTGGGTCGGGCGTACTTACGTGATGCCACGGGTCTATATCCTCCCCGCCTGTCCTTCCCCTCTCCTCGCCTCCGGAGTCCTCCCTTTCTCCGATCACCGATCCCGCGACGTATTGCCACTGTGTTCCTTTACTCCTCCCAGGAGTCCACCCTTTCTCTGATAAAGTTATGTAAACGCCAATTGAGAGTGGATTGCACTAAAAAAGAAAGAATGAAAAAAAAAAAGTTTGAAAATGACAATGGATGTTCATGAAAAAACGAATTCACTTTGCATCTACTAACAATGGGTAACTAAGACTTCACTGCTGCTTCTTCTTCTCATAGAAACACGACAGTGCCAGCAAGTAGTTTTGGAGTTTGTTTATGCCTATTGTCTCAACCCTTTTTATCCCATCCCCCCCCTTGCAATGAACCCAGATCGTGAAGACACTTGTCAACAATGCCAGCCCGTATAGATATCAACCTGCTGATGAATGTTAAGTAATCGTAATTGTGTC